GATGATGAGAGTTGAAGTCCTACAACATCTGTGGACCCAAGGTTGAAGAACTCAGTGAAATAAACAAAGACACAAGCTCTCCTATGCAAGCTCTCAGTTCTTCCTGTTTTGGACATGTCTGGGACCAGCCCTTGGTCCAATTCACACATGCCAGTGTGGTGTTGTCATTACTCCCATTAGGTCCCATTCTGCGCTGGTAATATTGACTGCAATAGGAAACCAGGGCAGAAGTGGCCCATATGGCCGCCTTTCAGGAAGAATTGGCATGGGAGCTTACCTTGTGATCTTCTTACCCCACATAGTTCCTGGTTACAGACTGTGGAATAGAAACTAAAACTAACGGAAATGGCAATCATACTGTAGCAGATGTGGCACATATTAATAGATTCTTAGGAAGGAGTATGGGTCCATTTTAACTATTTAACATTTATACTGTGAGCTGTACCATATGGTTTGTAGTTGCAGAAGCTACCATTGTGATAATAGGACTGCTCCAGAACTCGGAGGCGACACAGCCAATGCTGGGAGAACGAAGATCTGGTTGGTAGGAAGGGTCAGAGATGACCAATGTACAGTGGGCTCAGAGCAGTGGAGGAGCCAAGTGGGATGATTGCCTTCTGGAGATCTGAACGGATGCCCACACTAAACTGTTTTAGGCTTCTCGTCTTCATATACTATATCTGTCAAAGCTGTAGCTGTATTTCCTCTATATCATATCTCCGGATCTTCTTTCCCTAGTGCAATTACCATTAGCTTTTGTATGCAAACCTGTTAATCAGAACAAAAGACAGTTTTGTATGAAAAGTGGCTCCCTCTCATTATTACACGCTCCACTGGGACTGAAAATAGTTAGTGTGAGAAATGTGATCTTTGGCAAGAACATAGGATGATGATGAAGCTGGGAGGGAAATAGCCAAATTCTCCCTTAGCAGAAAGTTATTGATCTAAGGGACTATCTGACTTTCTCATAAGCAGCTCTCTTAACAATGGCAAATGCTAAAAATCTTTCACAGGATAGTGCCAATCTCTGCAATACTTCCTTTTCAATCAGGGTTTTCTGATTTTCCATCCCACATTTTGTACTGCACTGCATAAATGATTTGATTTTGGAAAGGACCTTAGTCCAATTTACACATACTTAGAAGTGCAAATTCTGCCGCTATCACGTTACCTGATTTTTACGGCTTGCTGATTGGTGCTGGGTCATTAGATGTGCAGAGGGCAAAATTATGAGTTCACTTCTCTCTTGCATTTGCATCTAAAATAGAACCTACTTGCTGCATCAGCTTCAGATTATGAATCAAAATCCACCGTGCAGTCTTTCTCCCCTCCATCCCTTCCCTTGAACCTGGAGTATAGTCAGAATACATAAGCTGACATGATTGCCATGGCAACTGGCTGTGATGTCATGCAAATAAAGGATTAGCACTGATTTTCACTGCAGGATTGCTCAAAAGGAGATGCTGTGTGAACAAGGAATGCAAAAAGGAGAAAAATAGCTTGAATATTGTTAATGGGGAAAACAGAACATTACTGGCATTGTACAATCTGTTTTAAGCAGATGTTCTCTCTTCTCCCCCACCCCATTTTGATCCCCTTTGTGCCAATACTCTGCATTAGGAGGGGAATCATGAACTCGGGGGTGGGGGGTGGGGAGCCTGAACAAACACCAGGGAGAAAAATATTTTTCTGGTGCTTCTGCTGTCAATATCTTCCTTTTCTTTCCTTCTCTTTCTTGGCAGAAATAATGGACACTGAGCGGTCCATGGTGCTACTGGAAGGTCAGCCTACCTGCTAGTATCCATCCTGTGCAGAGATTTGTGTCCTTTGCAATTATGCAATTTGCTTGTAACTTGAATCCATTGCTACAGGGCCAACACTCATAGGATAGCAGGGCGGGGGGAATTTACCCAACGCCCTCAACCATTCCTCATTGGTTTCCAGATCTTTTAGCATCTTGGTTGCCCTCTTCTGCACACCTTCCAGCTTGCCAACATCCTTCTTAAATTGTACCCAGAAATGGACACATATTCCAGGTGTGGTCTGATTAAAGCAGAATAGAGTGGGACTATTACTTCCCTTGACCTGGGCACTATACGTCTGTTGATGCAGCCTACAATTGCATTAGCTTTTTTTTTGCTACTGCATCACACTCCTGACTTGTGTTAAGCTTGTGGTCTACCAAGACCCCCAGATCCTTTTCACATATACTACTGTATGGGCATGTTTAGCCTGGAGAAGGAGAGACTGGGAGGAGATATGATAGCTGTCTTCAAATATCTAAAGGGCTGTCACATGGAAGATGGGGCAAACTTGTTTACTCCTGCTCTGGAGTGTAGGCCCTGAACCAATGGATTTGAGTTATAAGAAAGGAGATTCCAACCAAACACCAGGAAGCTCTGACAGCAAGAGCTGTTTAAAGGTGGAATGGACTCCATCAGAAGGTGATGGACTCTCCTTCCTTGGAGGTTTTCAAACAGAGGTTGGATGACCATGTGCCATGGATGCTTTAGTTGAGATTCCAGCATTGCAGGGGGTTGGATTAGATGACCCTGAGGGTCCCTTCCAATTGTATGGTTGAATCAATCACTGAGTAGAGCAAGGGCAATAATGCCTCTGTAGCTGAGCTGTATGAATCACTTCATGAGGAAGGGTTGTGTGCTTCTGTGTGTGTACACTTGTGTCTTCTTACAAGTCTATATGAGAGTGTGGGTGGCCACACCCACCACTGGCTTGTGACCCCCTGTAGAGTTGGTTAAGCAGTCCTCTGGCACCAAAAGCCTATCCATTCCTACCACAGAGCACTCATTCATGCAGATAATGAACAACCTCAGGAATCATGTGGCGTCACTGGCAGGCTTGTCTGGGATTACAGATTTGTCAATTAAATGTAGAGACACCAGTGCGTACAAAAGATGCCAGCACACTGTCCTAGCTGGGTTGTGATCCAAACAGTGCCTCCCCAAAAAAACCCCAAAGGCCATTGCATGAGGGCTGAAGGCTGCACAAGCCTGGAGAGAGAGAGAGAGACAGAGGGAGGGAGAGAGAGAGAGGGAGAGAGATTGATCCAATATGGTGGTTCTGTCTTAGAACAGAAACTCTTAAATTACAGAGCTTATAGAAGTAACTAAAAGCATTTATTAACCACTTTCTCTTTCTTAGAATCAGATTTGGAACTCTAATGGGCCCCACAAATCTTTTCTTTTTTTGAAAGAAAAAGTTAAATGCCTGTAATTTTTTTTAAGAAAGGGAAGCTCAAACCACTAGGAACATTATAAAACAACATCTGTGAAAATCTCTTTCTCTCTCTCAAAATCAAGTAATGGCTACAGTTTTTGAAAGCTTCAGAAGGATATTGAAACCAAGATGAAAACAGTCTTTTTATTCTAAATTTCTGTATTTACAGAGAGTGCCATTTTACACAGTGTTGTAAAGTCTCTGCGTAAAAGAGTCATGGTCATTCAATGTTTGTGCTTACATTAGTAGCAAATTTTTAACACTTGAGTATATTAACAAAAAAATAATAACAAGCAGGCATAAAGATATAGCATGTGCTGAATTGTCACATATATTTTGAAAGAAGGTTGAGGCAGAAGTAAAATGGACTGGGTTTTGTCTTTTATAAAAAAGGCAAACAATACACAAGCAATAACTGATACTTCTTTTTGTTCATTTACGCATGATATGCTGAGCTTTCACATCAGGATTTGCAGGCACTTTAGCAATCCAGTTATGTGTGTGTACACATGTCTCTTTCACAATCAAAGTTCAGAGCATCAAACACAAAACCAGCTGTTGCAAAGGAAAATTTCATATACCCAATATACACATTAACAATAACTCTGCTGGAACAATCTTTTTGTTTCCGTTATTTTTTGGACACCAACATATTTTCATGACAATGCTTACCAATGTCCCCTCCCAATTCTCTTTTATTATCCACTTTATGGTTGATCTTTACCGCGATACTGAGGTGTAAAAATACAGTAACATGGAAGCACAGCGCAAATTGTCCACAAGGATTTACAAATTGTCAAAAAACAGGTTTTAAAAAAACTATTTTAAATGCAAAAATAGATTTTTGATTTATTTTGTCCTGTATTCCCCCCCCCCCAAAAAAAAGTAAGGACAAATTAAATTATCATGATGTATGGAGTAACTGGGCAATGTTTAATTTATAATTCATTTTGGGGGTTCATTTTTTTGTAATGGAATATAATTGAAAATCCCCACCAAACCAGAGAGATATTTTTCTCTCCACCATTCTACATGCTTCATGAAACAGCAATGTCCCTCCACTATTATTAGGCAACGTTAACTTATAAATACAAGGTTTTCACTGATAATATAACCTATATATGATTAAAGTATAAGACAAATGCAACAAGGTCCCCAGGATATATGAAACATAACATTTTTTGCTTAGGAATGAGGATAAAGCTTTCTGATAGGACTCAAGAGTGAACGTGTGAAGTCAAAGAAAAACAGCATTTCAGCAGACAGACATTTAAATATTTATCAACTGTAAAACATCAAGGGCTAAAGATCATGAGTGAACATTCAACCTTACTGCTTACAAGTGATACGTACCCCTTTCCCTTAATCAAAGGTATGGCAATGCATCTTTTAATTAAAAACAAATTAATGATGTATGTTGGAACAGGACCTCACTGAAGCATTGAACGCCTGACAGCAAAATGTAGTGAAGCAGACAGTGATAGCACAGAACTGGGCTAGGACACTTGATAACTAAGACACATCACTTGCCTAGAGTATGATTGTCAAATGATGGAAAATCCTTCCATGATATAACACTTGAGACACAATGGCAAAGACATAAGGCCCTCTGATTCTTTGCCTATATTGCTAAAGGCACTGAAGCAGACAAGAATTCCTTAGTACCTCCTTTTTGTAAAAAGAAGAAGTCCCGCCCCCCAATACAAGTCTCTTCATATGAAAATGTTCCTTTATTGCATGGGACGTTGACCTTTTTCTTCGACTCAAGAATAAAATGGTCTTCCCTTTTCTGGCGCTTGCAATCTGTTTAGCCTGGCAACCTGAGATGGCGAAGGGGGTACATCATGTCTGAAAGGACCTTTGGGAGTGGCATAATTTGGGTCCTGAACTTTCTTATAGGAGTCATAGTTGCTGGACCCTTCAGAAGATGTCTTTTTTTTCAGCTGCTGCTCTTTCCGCCTCTGCTCTTGACGCAACAGCTCTTGAGTTTCAAGCATTACCCGGGCGTTGAAGCCATGGCCTCCCATGTAGCCGTTCCTGGAGCCCTGATAGCTGGAATACCTCGGGTTGTCTTTTGCACTTTGGAAACCTTCGCCCGGAGGATAGTTCTGCTCCCAAGAATCTTGAGACACAGAGCTTGCATTTTTCCGGCTTTGCCTGGAAATCAGAACAAGGTATTTATTATACTTCATTACACTTATGGAAAACACTTCTTTTATTTCTGGAAAATTTTTCTAGTTCTTTTATGCCTCAGTATGAGGCACTAAGGCAAGTCACTCATTCTCCATAGAATAACAAACAACTGAAGAGTAGTTGCTGGAGGAAGGTCTATCACTTCCATTCTCTGCTTGTGGGTGGAGGGATTCCTGAAGGTAATTCATTGGCCACTGTGGAAAACTAGATGCTGGACTGAATGACCCCATAATCTAATTCAGAAGGCCTCTTCTTTTGCCTCCTACCAAGAACCAGGCCATAATTTGCCCTCTGAAGTCTATCAAAGTGGGTATCCTTCAGGAAGGGCATAAGAACACAAGAAGAGACCTACCGGTTCAGACCAAAGGCCTGCTCAGCCCAGCATCCTGTTCTCACAGCAGCCTATGGGAAGTCCATGAGCAGGCACGAGTGCACTATTCTTCTCCCACTTGTGATCCACAGGAACTGGCATTTAGAGGTCTACTGACTCTGATACTGGAGGTGCTGTATAGCCATTGAGACTAGTCAGTGCCATTTGTCTAGAAAAAGGTGCTGGAACGCACCACAAACATCTCCCCGTATTCTCTTATAATGGCAATGGTGCCCGCCTGAGAGATGCCAGAACTCAGTTCTGGCAAGTTCCCACTGAAAAAAAGTCCTGTGACTAGTACACCTAACCTTAAAAGGATAGTATTTTCCTCCACGAATCCCACTTTATACACACTTATGACCAAGGAAGTCCTCTTCCACACAACCACACACAACACATCCAAAGATGAACTGAGTGTAGTCCAACAAGAATGCTGAACCATAATCAATATGACATAGAATTGTGGTCAGTTAATCACGTGCAAAAGCAGTTTGTTGGGGGTTTTGTACAAAAGATAGCACCAAGAAACCCAATGCATTTAGCTGCAGACATACTGTATTTCTTGACATGGGTCACAACCCAGCAGGGCTTAAGCATGTCTGATTGTGTGTTTGAACATGGCCACTCTCTTTCCTAATGGATTTGACCATAGATTCAAATGCTGAGCATGGCAACAATCCAAATAAAGTTACTTGTGACTTGCTTATACTAATTAGCTGCTGACTAGCTGTTTTTCATTGAAAGGAAAGCAAGGTATAAAATTAAAGAAAATAAATAAATGGATTTAAAGCAGAGTTAGCTGACTTTAGCTTTACTGGACCTTACAGATTTTTCTCCAAATATATAGGAGTAGTCTCCTTTCGCATACTTGCATACTGTCATATGCTGTGCTTGTCAACACACTTAGCACATTTTCTTTCACATCACTTTTATTCATCATTGTGGAGGCACACCCTTTATGTGTTCAATACATGTATTCCAGAATTTCAATTTCTGACTTCTTACCTAACTATTAATGCTGATTTTCTCACATGTCAATACAATCGCCCAGATAAAGCTTTTCTAGTTCTGTTAAGACTGCAGTATTGAAACTCCCCTTTCCCTCTCCCAATGCCTAGCTATCAACTCCAAATAGCAGAAGAATCTGCTGGTTTCAGAAGAAGTTTGCTGGGGAGTGATGCAACATTTCAGGCAAATATCACGTTGGAATCCCAGATGATGATGCCAGCTTGGCAGGCGGTAGACTTATCCCCTTGTCTCTTTTGCTTAGAGTAACCAGCTATTCTTCAATTTACATGTGTTCCTTGAGGCACTACACTATAAATATTCACAGTCTGACAGCTAATACTGTAATAGCAATTACAACTTTCAACAATAATTCTGCAACAGACCTGGACATGGGACATTAGTATGCAGGGCTTTACCAACCCTGATTGCCAAAGGTCTGTGTTTTGCCTTACGAAGCCCAGCATGCTCATGTAACTGCAGAGGAAAACTGTTTCCAATATATGTAGTATCAGAACATTCCACTACGTGGTATTTAAGCAAGCTGAGCAGAACTCAGACTGTTATTACTGTCTAGTGGAACACATGAAGCTGCCTTGGACTACAACAGGCCATTGGCCCATCACTGTTGAGTTTAAATGGCATCAGAAATGCTATGTATCTGTATGGTAATGTGCTTGAGATAGTGAAACTTCACCATAAACAATGCATGCATTAACGACAAAGGGGTTTGTTTTGAGTACAGGAGTGGGGCCAGTCAGAGTGCAGAGAGAGAGAGAGAGAGAGAGAGTTAATGCACGTGAGCAAGACACAGAGACGATGGAAGTGGGAGATGAAATGGAGACAGACAAAAGTGAGTTAAAGTGCCAGCTTCCTTGGGCTTGAGGTAAGCACAAGAATGTTGCCCTGAAACCATCAGCCCTGACCCTCAAGCAAACAGGGCTGACTTCATAGGGGGCATGCAGCTCCACTTGGTTCTGCCAACGTATGCACATGGACAGCCTCTTTTCTTCTGTCTACCTCTCAGATGAGGGCAGGGAAAGTGGAGAAGATAAAGAGAGTATACCAATCCCCAGTCCGTCAACATGTAGAGCTGGACAAGCCTCCAGAGAGAGATTGCACCAGTTCCTCCCCTTCTCACTCTATCTAGATCAGGGGTAGTCTACCTTTTTATACCAACCGCCCACTAATGCATCTTTCTTGATGGTAAAATTTCCTTACCGCCCACCAGTGCTCAATGGAAGGAGGATTCAGCTTGTGCCGTAGAACCCCCTACTGCCTACCTAGAATCCTGAAACGCCCACTAGTGGGCGGTAGGGACCAGGTTGACAACCCCTGCTCTAGAAAGTTCCTTGTTTATCGGATTCCCCTTTGCTCGCTCACCAATTAGGCAAAAGAACATAAAAAGAAACTGCTAGATCAGGCCAATGGTCCACCCAGTCCAACATCCTGTTCACACAGTGGACAACCAGATGCCAAAAGCAGGACCTGAGTTCAACAGCACTCCCCTCTCCTGCGGTTCCAAGCAACAGACATTCAAAGGCATATTGTCTCTGACAACAGAGGCAAAACACAGGCATCCTGGTTAGTAGCCACTGAGAGCCTTATCCTGCATGAATTTGTCAAATCCTGCTTTAAAGACACCCAAGTTGGTGGCCATCACTACTTCTTGTGTGAGTGAACTTCTAATGTTTCTGTGTTGTCACCCAACATTTAGTGATTTATTTAAAACATTTCTATCTCACCTGTCTGTCCATCAGGAACTCTGAAGGCAACTTACTAAGAGCAGCAATATATCAAAGAAGTTAATAAAACAGAAAATAACCACCAAATAATAGAGGATTTCAACACAAAAAGAAATCAAAACAGAGTCTATTGGACTCAGGATTCCTGAGAACTACATTTCCCAGGGCCTCTTCTTCCAGGGATACTGAGTTTTCCTATTACTGACACAACAGAAGGAAAGAAATATTGATGCTCTGCTACCAGGTAGATCTGGGACCTTGGATAATGCCAAGGAGAATTACAGGTAATTTATTATGCTTTGTCCTGTGGAAGATAACTCAAACCTTATAATATCACTGGTAGTTATGCAACATGGACAGGCAGCTTTGTGACATTGCCATTTTACTTCCCTTTCCATACACACAAAACGAAAGGCCATATTGTCAACACAAGTATGTATAGGACAATGAGATTTCTGAGTGAATATGGTGTGAATCATTCACTCTTTTATTTAAGTTCACATAAGCTTTCTAAAGCATCCAAAAAACCTTTTTAACAGCAGGCTCCAACTTTGAGAAAACGTTACTTTTAAACAGCTTCACATTGAAAATGACAATAGATTAAGCTGATTCACACCATATTCACTCTGCCTGTTAGCAATAAGGCAAGCAAGATTGGTTGGACTCTTTTAACACCACTTTTATGAGAAGATATCAGAGAAATGTATGAATTGTGGAAACAATTTATATTTATAACTGCATGAATGTAGATTATCCATGAAGCGAGGAAACAAAGACTGAAGTACTTATTAATTTGTTTGTGCACAGATGTTTTGTAGCACAGACCTTGAACAAACAGTTTTCCTTGAACTGAGAATATATTTTGCGGCTCTGCAGAAGGTTATTCCACAGTCCCCTGTAATTCATAAATGAAATAATAATGCACTACATGTTTCTTCCGACAAAAAAATTACAGTTTATCATAGACATAATTTGGGGAACTGCAAAAATGCAGTCATGCAGTAGTGATCTTCCCTTAATTGAGAAGGCAAGGAAAGCTCTGCTAGATCAGTCTAAAAGTTGATCTGGTACAGCATTTAGTCCCACAGTGGAACCAGTTCAACCAGTTACCCCGGGACACCGACAGGCAGGGCAAAGAAGGCAATAATATCTGGCTGAACACTCAAAGACTTAGAAAATGTCACCTTTTTGACTATAGACAAGGAATATGCAGGCAAAGCCCTTGAATAAACTACTCATTGACTTAAGGCAGCATTCCTCAAACTGGTGCCCTTTAGATATTTAGGACTGTGACTCCCATCGGCACGGCTGACTGGGGTTGATGATAGTTTTAGTCTAAAACATCAGGAGGGCACTGGGCTCCTATGGTTTCCTTCCCCCATTCAAACCCAATTCTTACCAACCTCATCCAATCCTCCAATACCTCAGTTCAATGAAGAAGAAGAAGAAAACACAAAATCACAGAATCAGCCTTTGGCTTTGATGAGAGTTGTTCTTGTTAGATCAAAATCAAATGAAAAACTCTCCCACTTGTTCTCCCCATCACTCTCAAGGGCACCTGCTCTTTTCTAAACCAATCTTCCATTCTGCCTCAATATACTTTATTTTCCCAAGACTCTCAAATTTACTTTAAACATGACTCAAGCAATCTCTGTCCCAAACCAGCCTCGATCATTCAGCAAATGTCTGAATGCGTTAGGTGAACAACCCCTTTCCTTTGGAATACATCTCCCTCCTAGACTCAAGACTGCCTGTGAGCACTTTGTGCTTATAAACTAAAGTATGTGTATGGACAGCCCTTAAATATTAGAACCAATTAAATGTGTCAGAAAATTGGAAGTATC